AGCACTGAGATATCTTCATCAGCCGGGACCGTGTCAGTTGTGTCCTTGATAACGTTTACAAATTCGACATTTTCACTATCAAACGTTTACCAGGAAAGTTCGCTTTAGGATCTTAAACCGCTCATGCACATAGACATTGCTACAATGGATGTGTAATATAAAAAAAGTATATATATATGTTCTTGTTAGACCCATTGTTTTTGCGCACTGTACAAGACGAATCTGAACAAGAGCAATGAACAAGAACTAAATAAAGCCTGTGTAAAAATCAATGTGCCAGGATCAGGTAATTTATACAACTTTTAAGGTAAAAATGCATATAACATTTGAAATGAGATTAAACAAAACCCTTTGATCTCCAAAATGATGACCTGAGAGCAACACTTATCGGAAAAAATGTTAATTCCCATCCGAAAGAGGTTGTGTCTCTAAAAAAACTAAAACAGTGATAGAACAGCGATAATGGCATCACGTACTTTAAATTAAAACTAAATCGTTTCGTTATCTCATTGACATTAGATGAGCCCTGTAAATTGAGAAAGAGATGGAGTACCCTTTTTGCAATACCACACATTAAAAGCGAAGTACTCATAGGAGGAAGGTCACCGACTCAAATCACTACAGGAACATGAGAAATGTCGACAAAGAGTGGATGATCGGTAGATAAACCCACAATAAGTTATGGACACCGCACTCATTAGAGCACAGGAAAACATGCGCAGTGCGGTAACTCAAACGACCTGGTAAAGCAGTCTAGGTTTAATCATACCTTTCACAGTATGGACACGCGATCGTTTGTTTGTTTGTTTTTGTAAGCACCAGGCGTACACCCCGTGTGGGGACTGGAACGAATAATAAAGCTTTGAGTTGAGAGCACATGGAAAATGTCTGAAGTGTGTTTTTAAACTGGGACCCTGATAGAATTTCCCAGGCCTAGGAATCTCCACAGTATATTCTCCTGAAGTTCAATTTCGTTTTTTTCACAAGTTTGGTCACATTAGAATCCAGTTTACGTTTTTCACTGAGGTCAATCCAGAATTTGGATCCCACAATGAAGCCGAGCTACCCATCAGGTTCATATTTACTATTCCTCATCAAAGGCCAGGTGATGTCTTTGTGAAGCTGATATGTGCGCTCTGCCTCTACATGGATCATCAATAGAACTAAGTTGTCAACTTCTTAGCTATTATTGATAGTTCTCAATTCAGCTTGTTCTCATCACCGACAAGAGTGTCGTCATTTGCGTCCTCCTGATTGCCTTGTAATGCCTCTTCGTGGAACTCAATCGTGTTTCAAGTTGAGGATCATTTTCGCAGAACGAAGATATGAATATCTTTTCGCCAACAATACCTTTGGTCATCTGTTCATTTTCCGCAGAAAAACGATCAGTCCCAGGTTTTCCTTCTCAGGTGGTCACTTTACATTCATCTTTCACATTTCCGTCGGAGGATTTTGCATCTCGGGAAAGTTTATTGTGACGCTCTTCAGAGTGGTATTTGTTTACAATTGCTGTTTGTATAGCGTTTGAGTTTATATTGCCTCTCCTGTTGTTTTAGAGGCTTCACTTCCCATTAGTCATAAAAACTGAGGTTATTATCTATCATAGACAACACTAGCCACAGATGACTCGCGTGAATTATCATTTGCGTGTTGTAGCCGCCATATTGTTTGGCTTCAGTCACCCTGAGCAACCAATCCTAAAATATACAGTTTGCTGCGTTATCTACACAGCTGTGACAGCGGAGACACAGCGGTCAGACGTTTGCGCATGTGCAACGTTGTAATGATCATTAGCAACGAAATGGAACGAACGCGCCTTATCCACCGAGCAAGTGCACTCATTTTGCCGCTGTGTCGGTGTGTCGATTAGCGATCATGGTTGACGCTCTTTTAGGAACCAAGCGGTCTCGAACGAGTTACCATCAACCACACAAGCCAATAATTCATGGTGTTTTAAAAGCGTATAACCTTTTTCGGTGAGCTCAAAACAGAATGGTAAATCAACAAGATTGCCCGTACTTGAATAAGTTACATGTTCGAGAAGTCTCGAGATTTACTTTTCCCTAGTTTTGTTTTCTTTTACAGATTCTGTGAAATTTCGCTTGTTCAGGTGATTCAGCGGTTGTTTCTTGCGTTTTCCTTGGATATTTTGTACGGGGAAATTAGGGTGCGGCCTACCCTAACGCACAACTGACGTTAGACCGCTGTGTTATTTTAAGGCCCAGCCTCGTTACCATGTTGGATTTTGTGCCTATTGTTTGTACCGTAGCGGCTATAGATTCAAGGTACAGAGTCTCCTCAACATAACTAGATACGTGGTTTCTGTTTTTATGTTTCTGGTTTTCGCAAAATATTACTCTGATTCTTGACATATACTCCCAGACTACATCAAGAAGGTAGAACTATTTTTGTACCTGACCAGCTTCCACTGGAAGTAAATAGAGCTGTCAACCTTCGAGCATACTGCCAGAATATAAATAAGCTCGCAATTATTATGAATTTTTTTCTTTCTACTTCCGCTATTCACAGCAGAAAGTTATTAAGTGAAGTCCTACTGCTGTTCCTCAACTACTTACAGTGGCTGTTATTGAAAAAGAGCTTGTTTACAGGTGAGATATAAAGGCAACAGGGCATGCAGCATATGAAGACCATATCTTTCTTCTGATTTTGAATTATCTAGAGTAGCTGTTTTTCCCACGTTTAAAAAGATGTGAAACCCGTACGAAGAATTTAAGGATCGTTTCGAATGCTTCAATTATCTGGATAAACTTTATCAGCCCAATTTAATTTGCTTCTCTCGGTTTCGTTTTACAGTCAGTTCAATTCAATAATTTCCTGCTGCAAGAGTCAAGAATACATCCAGAATATTAAACGTTTTAACCTTTCTACAAAAGTTAGGTAGATATAAAAAGAGGATTCTGACACATTTTGAAAACAAAGTTGATTTCAAGGCAACTCATAAATTTACACGGGTGAATAATATTTACTACGTCTTACTCGTGAGTTCTGAAGAGGGGTGTGAATATTATCAAAAAGTTCTGACGCGCGAGACTTTTTTCAAATTTATTAACTTTAAACTGTTTTTGACTCGTCAGAAACATTAATGTTTTAAATTTGTATTCTTGTTATTGACGCGTCGGAAATTTTTCAAATTTATTCTCTTCAACTTGTTTCTGACACGTCAGAAACCCGGACCGGAAATGATCCCTGATGGGGACCGCAAATGATCCCGACTAAAAAATAAGGAATGGCTTGGATGTGGGAATGGTGAGGATAGGGAACTGGGGTGAATAGCATTTATTTTTATTAAAACCATCTTAAATCATGGCTTACAACTGGCTTCTTTTGGTTACTTTTTTCATGTTACGATGCTATGAATGGCACCTTCATAAACGAACCTAGAATTCTCTTTACTATATATCTTAAAATTATGAGCGAGATTCTTTTCGACAACACAATAAATGCTACATATTCTTGCTTAACTAGCAACACATTGGTATGCCGGCGTGGTATACTTTAAATCAAATTGGATCAGTCCATTGACGTCACCCGGCTGACAACAACAGCAACAATGTCAGTAAAAACAACAACAAGAACGTACTCTTTTAGACTAATACGTTTCCACCCGACATGCGGCACCGCTTGTTTTTGTTGTACCAAATTCCAAACTAAATTCATCCATTTAGCAACTATTACAGAATACGCTGTCATCTGAGTAGTACTGCAACGCTCCATCGCTCTCAAAAACACCTTGTGAGTAGCACGGGAATTTTCGTCCTTATTTTGGGCAAATTTCTTCTGTTAAGGATTCTGAGAAGCCATTGGTTCCAGGCTATGATAATAAAGCTCAGCTTCACGGCCAAGTAAGCTAAGTACGCTGATTTAAAATATCCTGGTCAAAAATAGTGTGCCTATTCTGCAACGCTCGAGCCCGTTTGAAACGATTAAGTTTTAATATAAGGTACCTGGTGCCATTATCGCTTTTCTATCGCTGTTCTAACGTTGTTAGAGACACCAGGCAAATTTGAAACATAGTAGCCGTGTCTGTTTCGGATCGACCGCCATTTAGTCGTCGAAATACTATTTTTTGAAATTTTCCATTAAAATTATGTGCGCTATGCCTTTTTTGGATGGGAATTAACATTTTTTCTGATAAATGTTGCTCTCAGATCATCATTTAGGAGAGCAAAGGATTTTGTTTAATCTTGCTTCATTAATTATATGCATTTTTGCCCTTAAATTTGTATTACCTGATTAAAGAACATTGATTTTCAACATAAATTCCATTTAGTTCTTGTTCATTGCTCATGTTCAGACTTGTCTTGTTCAGTGCGCAAGCTCAATGGGTCTGACAAGTCATGTTATTTTAATTAGAGAGTCCAGAGTTCTTCTATTTATAAGTGAGGATATATTTTCAACTGGACACTATGTTTGATATTCTGGAATTTGTAGATGAGTGGAAAAATTAATAGAGTAGTTTCAGCTTGGACAGCAAGCGATATATATTGTGATGTAACAAGCAGCAACTTGGGATAAGAGCATGTTAGATTAGGAGCAGGCTCTCACGCGTTCAGCACGTGCGTCGAGCATGCGCACTGCTGGGCGCACGTTTTTACGCCCGTGACAGCATAAAAGGAACATTTTGAATTCGTGATTAATTTTTTCTATCACTTCTGTTCAACATCAATGTAGTTTTTTTACCGATGAAAGGTTCGTTTTTGTGGTAATGATAGTTTTGTTTTTCTACTCTCGTCGACTGGTAAACAACAAGTAGAAAAGCATAAACATACACCTTTGAAACTATGTCATGTAACACACACCGGCAGTAACAGAGCAACGACAATGGCTGAATATTATATGAACCGCAAGGGTAAGGGGTTTCTATGCTCTTCGTAAATGATACCAGTTAAAAAATTCCAACAGATTCTACTCTTTATAAATACATATCTTCACATATATTTTATATTCTACATGTCTATGTTCCTAAGCAGATTAAGACCCTAAAGCGAACTTTTCTGGTGAAAGTTGGATAGTGAAAATGTCGAATTTGTAAACGTTATCAAGGACACAACTGAACTGGGCTCGGCTGATGGAGATATCTCAGTGCTGGATCTTCTAAAGGGAATTACACAGAAATTAAGTGTCTGGAATAAAGTGCGCCTAAATTCTGGGATTCTGAACGGATAAATTATCACGTTCACAAATGAATTGCTAAACTGTAAAATTTTGATAACAAAAAATACGAATCCAAAATGGTGAACATTTTTCATGACTTTCAATCCAGACAAAATATTTAGAATTTGAAAAGGAAGCCAGGTAAAAAGTGATGTTCCTGTTATGAGAGCTAGTGTCTTCGCTAATTTCACTTCTCTTTTGATATGATTCTGGTTGCGAAATGGCGATTTCTGCTTCTTCCAAACAACAAAGTTTGCTACACATACAGTTATTAGAGGGATTCCAGGAAGTAAAAAAAGACAATACAAGTAAACCTCCCTCCCTATTATATCAAGCGCCTGTAACACCAATGCAGTAGTAAATATTGCCGCTATGATCCACGGTATGCTAATAGCGCAGACGTATACACGATAGTTCAGAGTTCTGTGACGAAGAGGCCAACCGACGGCGTACATTCTTTCCAAGGAAATGACAGCAAGGGTATAGATGGACGTTATCCCAGTGGAAACGTCAGCAAGCACGGACCATGACCATGGATATCCCGGTGATACAAATGATTTTATATAGAAAGGGACAGCGAAAATCCCAACCAGCAAGTCGGCAACAGCTAAGCTTATGAGAAGAGAGTAAGAGCGTTTTTGGCGTCTCTGTTTGAAGAATATCCAGATGGTGAGAACATTCCCTGCAATGATCAAAGTCCCCAATACACCAAAACATATATTCCAGAATATGTTCCATGAGTTAAAATCCATTTTGCTGGGCGCTGTTTTTCTTTTGACCTGCCATGGAAACAAACCTTTGCCATTAAATCTGAACAGTAGAAAATTTTTGGGAGCAAAAATACTTTAGCAAATGAGCATTTAGTCTTTTTAAACGATACTCTTTTGTGTCATTTAGAATCAAGTTAGTAATACTTTTTACATCGTCAAACAAAGAAATCAGACAGTCCTAAAACAAGAAACGTTTAGTTCGAGTAGGGCGAGTCCCCGTAAGGCAGAAAGTGTACGGATCAGACTGCTGTAACATGTCTCTTAGCTATGACGAAGGGCTAACGTGAGAAAAGTCATCTTTAGAAACTTTTTACGGTGGCCAATTTACATTATCAATATAATTCAGCGGTTTATTACAAATTATTTTACTGGAACATGATAATGTTTACAGTTCATCAAATCGAATCTTGGCGGAGGATCGACATAAAAAAAAAACAAAAAACAAAAAAAACATGGGAAGCCTTCTTTATTTCTATTTATACGAATCATCGGTCAGAACTAATTTGTCTCACAAAAGTTATACAAAGACACATACCGATAAGTCACGATAATCAACACGACTTTGTAGGCTCTTAACTAAATTAAGAGCCTATAAAATTTCGGTTTTTGATAAAACTTAAAACACAATCTTAATATAATTTAAAACGCAATCTTTTCATTTTTAAATTGTAATTTGTTTCAACATGACAGCGGAAGTTTCTAATAATTTTCCATTGGGCTTTTTCTCCGGAAAGTGGAGCGCCGTTGGCGTCAAAACTGACATCATTGGCAGGTGTAATCTTTTCATTTTTTAAATTGTAATTTGTTTCAACATGACAGCGGTAGTTTCTTATAATTTTCCATTGGGGTTTTTCTCCGGAAAATGGAGCGCGGTCGGCGCCAAAACTGACTTCATTTGCACGTGCCTTAGTTTTGGCCGCTGTGTTGTTCCAAAGACCAATAGATATTTTTACACTTTTGCTCTATGAAACATGAAAAGGAGTATATTGAAGCTGTTAACTTCAAGGCTTCCCTTGAGGTGGATCCCATTAACGTCTAGCTTCTTTAAGCATCACGCAAGTTTTATCATACAAATACACCAGCTTGCTTTTCTAGAACATACACATTCTGTAGCAAGAAAGTACTTTGAATTTGATTACTCATTATCCATTTGCTTACCTTTAGAAGAATGGGTAAAATATAACGTCCTGGTTGTATTCTTGACTTTGGCGCATCAAGGAACTGTTGAACTGGGCTGAATGCAAAACGAAACTGAGAAAAGCAAATGATCAAGATAATGTTCGCTTTAGGAAAATTAAAAGGGCACGTCAATAAGATTGATTGCTATGCTTACAAATGTGAGCAAGCTGTCACTTCTTAACAATAGCGTGCTCAAATATTGACTTAATGCAGTGGCCATTAAAACTTTATGTTAAATACAGGCTCTTTTTATTTGTCCAGGAATGGTGTAGCTGTTTTCTGTTGGCTTATATGGTTTTTGGGTGGGTAGTTCAAGCAATTGTCTGAAGCTTATCAACAGCGACCTCAGAAAAAATTTAACAATGGAAGAAAATTAACAAATTGATGCTACTATCCAGCATCTTGATGAGACATTTTCCTAGTGACTAATTTGAATGGTTCCATCTTTGCTTCATTTCTAGAAATAAAGTCAAAGAATTTGCCTGAAAGAATGATCTAGTCGTTCAAATAAAACGGGCTGAAAGAGTCGTTTGAATGGGTCGAAATTTTTTTAAATTTTTTTTTCTCCCAAGTACGCAGAATTCTTAACTTGTACAAACAGATAATCGAAGCGTTCGAAACGATCCTTAAAATTCTTCGCACGGGTTTCATTTCTTTTTGAACGTGAGAAAAACAGCTACTCTAGACAATTCACAAACATTGTCAGACCAAAATTTGACGAAACAAAACCGGAAGAAAAAGATCAAGAAAAACACTTTACTGTTCCAGTCTTCTTGCAGGGCTTTTTTTGTCGCTAGAATAGAGCACATCTGGAGCGGAAGTGGAAAAAAATTCATAATTAATGCGAGCTTATTTATATTTTTGCGGTATGCTCGAAGATTGATAGCTCTTTTTACTTTCTACGAAAGCTGGTCGGATACAAAAATAGTCCCACCTTCTCGATGTAGTAAATAAATTTTTGCTAAATTTATTTTGTTTTTGCAAAAAATTGCTACTCTCCCCTGGAAAAATGAAATAGAATGGCATACCACAACAGCCTGCCCCCAGGTATTACGTCAGGTTTCGACAACCTCCTTCCCAGGCTCCTTCCTCTTTCCTGGAACATTGATTTTCAACATAGACTTCATTTAGTTCTTGTTCAATGCTTTTGTTCAGATTCGTCTTGTACAATGCGCAAGCGCAATGGGTCTAACAAGTATATATAAATACAGTAAATGGTTTGAACCGGGGGTAACATGTAATAGTGTAGTTTGATCGTCCGGGTGAGTGTAGTCCTGAGAAGGACTGTTGTCGGTAGTGGTGACTGACGTTTCGACAACCTGAGCGGAAGTCATCATCAGAGTCAAGTGAAAGGTTGTTGTCAGTCGAATGTACTTAGTCCGGTTTGTGTACACTGATTGGTCAGTTTTGCCGTGATGTTATTGGCTGTAAGACTCAAGTGGCGTAGGTCAGTCGTGATTGGTCGGTTTGGATCCGTTAGTGAAGTTAGGTCGTTCTGTTCGGTTCGTTTGTAATGTTAATGTCGTGGATGAGTCGTTTGTATGGTGCCGGTAGTGGTTTACACCTGTTGAGGGGAGTCTGTTCCAAGTTAGTAAACCAGCTTTCCAGGGTCAGTCGTTGAAAGTAGTTGGTGCTGTAGGTTAGGCATTGCGCAGAGTCCCAGTCAATAGTAGGGTTCGTAAGTCGGTGATGTTCAGCAATGTGATTGTTGACATCGCCTTTCCTCGTCGCTCGTTTGTGTTCGGCCAGTCTAGTTGCGAGGTTTCTGCCAGTCTCACCGATGTAGGAGGCGTGGCAGTCGGAGCAATTAATCTTATATACTGCTCCTTGTCTGTTCCTCGGTTCGTCTCTGTCTTTGATGTTAGTCAGTTACTGACGTGGTGTGGTAGTAGATTTGTGAGCGACGCGGATATCGAATGGTTGTAGGATGCGTGAAATGGTCTCAGATACATTGTAGTGCCAGTTGAAGTGGAATACTTGTAAAAAGCGATTTCACATCAAATGACACTAGTTTGTAGTCGTCAGGTATCTGTACAGTCTTCGTGGCGTTAATGAAGTCCTCGGTGGATTGTAGTTTTCGTCTGGATTTGTCGGTGAGCGGTTGTGGTATTGTCGTTAGGTACTCACACAAAATATATATACACTTTTTTTTATATTCCACATCCATTGTAGCAGTGTCTAGAAAACAGAAACTCTCTGAATGACAGCCTTACGTGATGGTTCGATTCGCAGCTGTCTTAGGGAAAAGGAACTCCAGAAAGTTAATAGGTAAAAGCGAACTTTCCTGGTGAACGTTAGATGGTGAAAATGACCCGGTGACTGGATGGAGATACCTCATTGCTGAATCTTCCAAAGGGAATTACACAGAAATTAAGTATCTGGAATAAAGTGCGCTTAAATTCTGGGATTCTGAACGGATTAATTATCACGTTCACAAATGAGGGTCTGAATGGGGGTACTTCGAAGATATCCGAAAGCTGCCGAAGATTTCCGAAAGCTGATGAAGATGTCTGAAGGCTGCCGAAGATGTCCGAACACTGCTGAAGATGTCCAAAGACCGCCGGATATGTCCACTGAGACTGCCAAAGATGTACACAGACTTATGACCGACGATATTTGAAGACTACCGCAGATTTGGCTTGTATAAGTCATAACAATTCTATTCTTAAAGCGCTTTTACAGCGAGGATTCACCAACCGTGACAACTTAGAGAGAATATATATTAGTAACAAATCAGATTACGATATTCAAATCAAACAGCCAATGGGATAGAACATCGAAATGAACACTAAAATTAAGCAAATTTACGGACTGCCATCCGTTGTATGAATACCTCAGTATGATTGGTTGGCTTTGTGAGATGGTCCCAGTTGGTTTATCTGCACTGTAAACAAAAAGAGATAAATACGAAAGTTACAAGGAAAATGAAAGTTAACATATGTGAGTGGTTAAATTTGACTTGTAATGAATGCAATAACAGAATATTCTTTTACCAATAAGATCGGCTACAGTGCTCACAATGTATAATGGTCAACAAAAATGACAGACATGTCACTCCATCCTTGCCAAAAACATTTGATTATATTCCATACCTGAATAGTCGCGATTGTCCTAACTGTTTCTAGACATCAAGGCGGAAATGAGCGCGGGTGGTGCGACCAAATCTGCTGAACGTTATGTCTATATCATTATCCGCATCGCTCTCCGAGTCGGTGTCGAATTCATCCTATTGCTCGGGGAGGTCTTTCACGTCACCAACTGCGACAACTCCGAGCATGCTTTCGTCAACAAAGGTGATTCTCGGTACTTCGTTTGTAGTTCGTGGAATATTTGTATCCTGGTCGACTCGTTCTTCATTGTCTGTCCCTGGATCATCTTAAACATCCTCTTGGAATGTTATTCTAGTACACGATGGCGTACTGGAATATACAGCTGGCGGCAGGGCTCCCGCTTTGTCTTTTGTTGATTCGCTTCTTACTGTCCTTGACAGGTCGATACCTGTCAACCAATTCCTTCATGGCTGCCTCAATGTTGGGGTCAACGTTATCAGCTGGAGGAGGTTTCACCAAATCTACGTCCCGTAACTCCATACTGGATTTAGGCACTGGATAATAAGACTTCTCAAGTGTGAAGTACTTCGCACCCCACTTCGTTGTTCTCTTTAAAGATTCATTTAAAATTGTTCCAAAGTCTGGAGCATACTAAAGAGCGGTGAAAGTGTCGTTTTTGAAGTGGGAGACTGCATGAAGGTTCTCCACCTGAGTTGTTAGCAGCGTACGCAGGTCAATGTCACCAAGATAGTCCTCGTTTACATTCTTAACGTTATCTCGTGGCTGTTCCATACCTCTTTCGAGAAGCACCAATGACTCCTGTGTTTAGCTGGAAACAGTTCCTTCAGGGCCATTTATTGTTGCCGTTTCTTTCATTTTATAGTGCTACCTTACTTCAGCGACTGTGTTTTTAATATAAGCATTTACAGATGAAACATTGCACACAGCATCTTGAAGAGATAATTGGACCGCGTCGATCATATGTGCACCAATTCCAAAACTATCATAGAGACATTCGAGGTTGCGAAGAAAGGACACTTTGCCAGTAAGCCCCGAAGCTAGTTTGATTGTTTCAGCAGCTATATCGGAAACAAAAAAAATTTTCCACAAGGAAAAGATTGCATGAAATTGTGTAAATGAGCAGCTTTCTTCAGTTCTATCAACGGTTCCTTCATGGCCAGTACCCAACAAGGTCTCGACTGTTGCACTTAAGGGATTAAAGATCTTAACCTTTTGATCTTTGTAGTCGGTGAATACAATGTTGCCCTCATAACCATACAGCCTCCTGATTTCCTTACAAGAATCTGAAGAATTCCGCAAGAGTCGCTCAATCGAGGATACAACCATATAACCCTCCAATCATATAACCATACAACCATATAACCCTCCAGTTGCGCTAGTTGCAGCCAAGTATGCTGATTGCCGCAGAACATAAAGAGATTCAACACTTGTCACGTCATTGGAGTAGTTTATCTGTCTCAGCCTACTACCGATGATAGCCACTCCATTGTACTCTAACTCCAGCTGCATTATGCTTCTCTGTTCATCATCTGCACACAAGAGGATATCCTTACTTGCCGCACAGATGGAAGTTGATTTATTTAAAGGTGGGTTAATCTGGACAATTTGTTTTTTCAGTTTTCGACTTGTGCAGCGAAAGATCTCAGATGTGTCGTCAACCGCTTCTGTAGAACTGAACCTGTACCCTCAAGTGACAATCTGAAACGACTAAGCTGCGAGAGCAAATCAGCTCGCGATTTTAGGCGTCCGGGTTAGTAAAGTACTTCGTCTTTCAATTCAATGAAACGGATTGCTGAGGAACCTCTCTCTGCAACGAAGACTACGCCATTGGTAAAGCATAGGTCCCGCAAATCCTTGAATACTTCCCTCCGAACATTTACATCGACTGGTCGGTGTAAAAGCAGTTCTACGAGACCATCAAGATTCGAAATCGTAGTCTAACGCCGTACTTTGCCTTGGGGTCCAATTTCATGTGCAATTGGTCTTTTGCAAACACTACTTTGGTTGGATTTCCAGAAGCGATACTTTTCAGGAACTATTGTGTGGATTACCAAACGTATCCCCTTAAGTACATCCAGTACTGAGGGTCTAGTAAGGCGCATTATCGGTTCTAAGGACAAGAACATTTCAGCTTTGGCTCACTGTTCGCGAGTGATTTTCTTGCAGAATTTAAAAGAGCAGACAAAATTTGAAGATCCTTAAAAAAAACTTTGGGGTCTCCTTTCAAACACTAAACAGTATTTTTTTCAAGAACAGTAAACATTAAAAAAAATGGCCAATTTAACAGTGAACACTAAAAAATATGGACAAATAACACTAAACACTAAACCCCATTCAGACCCTCACAAATGAATTGCTAAACTGTAAAATTTTGATAATAAATAGTGTTAATTCAAAGACAAAGAGGCCAACCGACGGCGAACATTCTTTCAAAGGAAATGACCGCAAGAGTGTGGATGGACATTATGCCAGTGAAAACGTCAGCACCCTTGGAAATAACGTACCATGCTTGCCTTTTGGGCAGCTTGCCCTTTCGCAAGCAGAAAAAAAAGAGCTGTTTTGCTCTTCGCACTGCCACACTGTAGAAGTTTTGCTAGGTCACCGCAACAAGTGAATGATTAACGTGCATCTTAGAATTTAGAAACAAATTTTTTAAGAAAAAAAACGGCGTTGAAACTGTGAAACCAAAGTTCTCAGTGGACACACTAAACGACAACGTCGACAACGCGAAAAGCTGCCAATGAAAGCGCTTCATTCTCGAACTTGCCGCCAAAAAAATTTCCCGCCGGAGTATTTCTTAGCAACTGACAGGGTAGATATTCATATTATTAAAGGGGATAAAAATTTGATAGCTTTCATTAGTTTGCTTCTCATAAGAAATTGCTGCATTCAGAAGTTCATTTTTCAGAAGGTTAGTCTGGGGGTCGGTTTTCCAAGTCAAGTTTCTAGTTCACAGGAAAGTGCCGAGTCACGTATCAGTGAACAAATTTTGCAAACAAAAATTATGCAAACAAAAATTATGCAAACAAAAATTATGCAAACAAAAATTATGCAAACAAAAATTATGCAAACAAAAATTATGTAAATTTATGGTTCACCTTGTTACAAGAAACCAAAGGTTTTAGGTTTCAAAAGAACAGAAATGTTCCTTTCATTTCTGGCAACTTTTCATCTAAAAGATTTTCGTGAAAAGTGAAAACAATACGATGTGGCCTATAAAATTTCATTAACAAACACTTATGGTATCTGTGTTTAGAATTAACCATATTGAAACATATGAGACCAATATTTGGTAAAACCATAATAAATTACTCACTGGAGTTCATGATCAAAATCTTTTGTTTACGTTCCTCACAAATGATTATGAAGCAAAATTTAGACAAATAGCTGTCTCTGAATTAGTAAGAATTAGTCACGGGCAACATTTACCTCCAAAGTTTTTTTCAGTAAGGGCTTTTACTGTATGCACAGGATCTCAATATGTCTCGTCTGACATGTAATGCGATACTTTGTCTCGTTTATGCAGATTTCACTTCATGGGAGCCACTTTCGGTCCGCATGAATTGATTAGGAATATAAAACATTCGTCTTCCAGTACTTCTGTAATTTTAATTCTCCGAAAACTCTTCACCTGCCCTTCGGGTCAGTTAACCACAGAATCCACTAGCCCGATCGCAAAATCCACTAGCCCCGGGCTATCGGACACGACTTTCTTTGCACGCTGCATTAGATCTTGGACGTGTAGTGATGTGAAAACCTGGCCCAAGAATGTTGGACTGAAAGACGGGTTAGTAGTACAGTATTTTTTATTCTTATCCCGATTCCCAAAGCGTAAAGTGACGTTAAGTATTGCAACTCTACCCTGGGAAATATGAAATGGGATGGAATACCAAAACAGCCTGCCCCGGTAGTACGTCAGGTTTCAACAACCTCCTTCCAAGGCTCTTTCCTCTAAATTCTTCGGAGCTTGGAATAGGCTGAGGTTTCGCTTTTATTTCTCGCTTTTGCCAATTTTCCACTGGTGATAAAGGGACACTATGAAGCAAATCAGCGCTTTAGCTTCTGAAATAATTTTGCTTTTTAGGTTGGATTCCAACACTTTGCAAACTGTTAAATGGTCAGATTTTGTTGCGTCTGCAAGATCTTAGAAGAGAGGTAGGGGTTGTGTGTTCTTGAACACGTGGAATACTGCATATTTTTAATAGAGGCGCGGGTGCAAGTCATTGCAAAATTACGACCCTTCTCTCCTCACGCATGACTTTCACATACATCCCCTGATCTAAAATACCCTGATCAAAAATCGTGTCCCTATTCTGCAAAGCTTGAGCCCGTTTGAAACGATTTAGTTTTAATTTAAAGTACATGGTACCATTATCCCTGTTGTATTACTAAAATTGTATAAATTACCTGATCCTGGAACATTGATTTTCAACATCGACTTTATTTAGTTTTTGTTCATTACTCTTGTTCAGATTCGTCACGCACAGTGCGCAAACGCAATGGGTCTGACAAGTATGTATGTATGTATGTATATATATATATATATATATATATATATATTTAGCAAACAGATTCTAAGTTGCCTTGCGTCTGTTCAGTAATAGATCATAGATGATGTCATCCATACGTCTGTCCTCCAATAGATCATAAGTGAGAACCAATCAGAATACGTGCATAACTGAACTTATTATATAAATATATGTATATATTTTACATTCCACACCATTGTAGCAATGTCCATGTCCCTTAGCAGTGTAAAGCCTTAATGCGAACTTTCCCAGTGAACGTTTTATAGAGAGAATGCCGAATTTGTCAACGTTATCAAGGACACAACTGACCCGGTCCCGGCTGATGAATATATCTTAGTGATGGTTCAAGGAAATTACACAGAAGTTAAGTATCTGGAATAAGGTGAGCTTAAATTCTGGGATTCTGAACGGGTAAATTATCACGTTCACAAATGAATTGCTAAACTGTAAAGTTTTGATAATAAATAGTGTCAATTGAAAAAGGTGAAAATTTTCTGTGACTTTCAAGTCAAACAAAATATTTAGAATTTGAAAAGGAAGCCAGGTAAAAAGCGATGTTCCTGTTATGAGAACTAGTGTCTTCGCCAATTTCACTTCTCTTTTGATGTGATTCTGGTCGCGAAATGGCGTTTTCTGCTTCTTCCAAATAACAAAGTTTGCTACACATATAGTTATTAGAGGGATTCCAGGAATTAAAACAAGATAATAAAAGAAATGCTCCCTCCCTATTATATTAAATGTCTGTAACACCACTAAAGTAGTAAATATTGCCGCTATGATCCACGGTATGCTAATAGCGCAGATGTAAACACGATAGTTCACAGTTCTGTGACGGAGAGGCCAACCGACAGCGAACGTTCTTTCCAAGGAAATGACTGCAAGAGTGTAGATGGACGTTGTACCAGTGAAAATGTCAGCACCGATAGAAATAACGAGCCACGCAAGGCCCTGTGATACAACAGCTTTTAAATAAAAAGGGACAGCGAAAATTCCCACCAGCAAATCGGAAACAGCCAAGCTTATGAGAAGAGGGTAAGTGCGTTTTTGGCGTCTCTGTTTGAAGAATATCCAGATGGTGAGAACATTTCCTGCAGTGATCAAAGTCCCCAATACACCAAAACATATACCCCAGAAGATGTTCCATGAGTTAAAATCCATTTTACTGGGCACTGTTTTTCTTTAGACCTGCCATGAAAACAAACCTTTGCTATTAAATCTGAACGGTAAAAAATTTTTGGGAGCAAAAATACCTTAGTAAACGAGCATTTGGTATTTTTTTAAACGATACTCTTTTATGTAATTTAGAATCAAGTTAGAAATATTTTTTACATCTTTAAAAAAAGAAATTAAACAGTCCTGAAACAACGAAACGTTAAGTTGAGTCGGGTGACGGTCCCAGTTGGGCTGAAAGCGTACGGCCAGTAGAAAAAAATTTAAGAAAAAAACTTTCGAAATTTAACGACAGAAGAATATTAACAAGTTGATACCAATACCAGCATTATAAAGAGGTGCCATCTTTGACCTGATTTCTAGAAATAAAGTCAAAGAATTTGCTTAAAAGAATGATGTAGTCGTTCAAATAAAACGGGCTGAAAAAGTCGTTCGAATGGATCCAGATAATCGAAACAGTCGAAACGATCTTTAAATTCTTCGTACGGGTTTTATTTCTTTTTGAACGTGGGAAAAAACAGCTACTCTAAACAATTCACAAGCATTGTCAGACCAAAATTTGACGAGACAAAATCGGAAGAAAAAGATCAAGAAGAACATTTTAATGTTCCAGTCTTCATATGCTACACGCTTTATTGTCTTTATATCTCACCTGTAAACAAGCTCTTTTTCAACAACAGCTACTGTAAGGTTGAGGAACAGCAGTGGGTCTTCAATTAAAGGGCGAATAGCTTTCTACTATGGATGATGCCCGACACTTATTTTAATGCTAAGCAGAAGTGGAAGAAAAAATTCATAATTAATGCAAGCTCATTTTTATTTTGGCAGTAGGGTCGAAGATTGACATCTTTATTTCCTCCCGCTAAGGCTGGTTGGATACGAAAATAGTTCCACCTTCTAGGTGTAGTCAGGGAGCATATGTCAAGCAAGAATCAGAGAAAAATTTGGCGAAAAACTGAAACCACGTACCTAGTTATGTTGAATCTATAGTCGCTAAGGTATGAACAGAGGAAATAATATTCAATATGATAAGGAGTCTGGCCTTAAAATAACACAGTGTTCAAACGTCAGCCGTGCGTGAGGTGATCAATTCTGGCCGGCTGCAACCCGGTTTCCCGCGAAGATTTTCAATGGAAAACAGAAGAAGCAACCGCTCTCTCGAAAAGTAATGTAGGCGAAAACAGTTGAAACTTTCAGAGAATCTCTTTAAAGGAAACAAATCCAGGGAAAGGAAAAGCTCCAGACTTTTTGGACATGAAGCTTGTTCAAGTACGGGTAACCCTGTTGATTTACCATTCTGTTTTGAGCTCTCCGACAAAGGTTATACGCTTTTAAAACACCGTGAATTATTGGCTTGTGTGGTTGATGGTAACTCGTTTGAGACCGCTTGTTTCCTAAAAGAGCGTCAACCATGATGGCTAATCGACACACCAACACAGCAGCAAAATGGGTTCACTTGCTCGGTGGATTAGGTGCGTTCGTTCCATTTCGTTGCTAATGATCATTACAACATTGCACATGCACAAACGTCTGACCGCTATGTCTCCGCTGTCGCAGCTGTGTCGATAGCGCAGCAAACTGTACATTTTAGGATTGGTTGCTCAGGGTGACTGAAGCCAAACAATATGGCGGCTACAACACGCAAACGATAATTCACGCGAGTCATCAGTGGCTAGTGTTGTCAATGATAGATAATAACCTTAGTTTTTATGACCAATGGGGAGTGAAGCCTCTAAAACAACAGGAGAGGCAATAAAAACTCAAACACTAAACAAACAGCAATTGAAAACAAACATCACTCTGAAGAGCGTCACAATAAACTTTCCCAAGATACAAAATCCTCCGACGGTAATGCGAAAGATAACTGTAACGTGACCACCAGAGAAGGAAAACCCGTGACTGATAGTTTTTCTCGAGAAAGTGAACAGATGACCAAAGATGTTGGTGACGAAAACATACTCGTATCTTCGTTCTGCTATAATGATCCTCAACTTGAAACACGATTGAGTTCCGAGAACCAGCATTACCAATCCTTGAATAAAGCTTTCCACGATTGAAACCTATTTGACAGAAGCGTCACTTGAACATGCTAAAGCTTTAATTGATATGTACTGAAAATGTAGGAAAAGATCAAAAAAAACTTTTGTGACAGATTTTGCTTTGGCTGTGGGAATACATAAACTTGTTCACGATATAATTGTTGATCGTAGAAGTAATTACCCAGAGATGACAACATGGGACAGGAATTTCGTAGAAAAGGTTGTGGTTATTCATCGTGGTGAATAACAATAAAAGCTAAGTTTTTTTTTTCTTTCGTTTGTCTCACATTGTAGTCACGTGTGATGTAGATCGCGACGTTTCGACTGCATACTGCTAGTCTTCTTCAGGCGATGAGGTCGATCTTCATCTTGATCTTATAAAGCATGATGCTCACAGCAGAGCGCGGGCGCAAGTTCTTGCAAAATTACGACCCTTCTCTCCTCGCGCGTGACTTTTACATACATCCGCTGATCTAAAATACTCTGATCAAAAATCGTGTGCCTATTATGCAAAGCTTGAGCCTGTTTGAAATGATTTAGTTTTAATTTGGAGTACCAGGTACCATTATCGCTGTTCTATCACTGTTCTAGCGTTTTTAGAGACACCATGCAACTTTGGAACATGGTGGCCGTGTATGTTTTGGACCGTCATTTCGTCGTCGAAATAGTAGTTTTTTAAATTTTCCATTAAAATTCTTTCGGATGGGAATTATCACTTATAAGTTAAGAGCCCAGACTTTTTTGTTGTTGTTGTTGTTGTAAAGTTAAAACACAGTGTGAAAAGAGAACCTGTAATTAAATGAACTTTGTGCTCGAAGAGTCTCTAGTTTTCATTTTTTCAATATAATTTGTTTCAGCATGACAGTGGTAGTTTATTATAATTTTCCCTGGGGCTTTTGGCTCGGAAAGTGGAGCGGAGTTGGCACCAGAAACTGACGCTATTTGTTTTGGTCGCTGTGTTCCCAACAGCAATTGATGTTTTTAGACTTTTTCTCTAGAAAACACGAAAAGGAGTATGTTGAAGCTATTATCTTCAAGGTTTCTCTTGAAGTGGAGCTCATTAACTATTGGGGCCAAAATCACTCGTATGTGTCCAACGCACAAACGAAATTTACTAAAGTATTAAAGCGAAATGAACATTTGAGGCGGTTGAAACGTTGTACGAGGTACGGGCCAAATGGCAAATTAAAGACGATGTAAAGCGACGTAAAGTGATTGATAAAGGCAGTATAAACAGTTAGGCGGTTCAAGCAGTTAAACGGTAGATCTGAATGAATAAAATTTACGGTAAAGAACTTTATGAATGACACAAACAAAGAAAAATTATGGAGTAAAAGGTAACAAAATATCGATGAAAGTAATGTCCGTGAAAACAAAAGAACTCCTTTAATTGCTTTTCCACCCTCATCGCTGAATTTTTTTCTTCCAGGATAAGCTGCTGAATGATCTGCTTCCGGACCAACATATGAGACGTAAACGAAAACAGATCCGAGACCGTGATTATCACCTTCTTTGAATCGGAAGTCCGCGCTTGGTGAAATGTCGGGCAACTCCTTGATGGGGTTAACTATTATTCTGGAGTCCCAACTCAACGAAAAATGTCACTTAGGAATTATATCTAATGTATGCGAATTTTCGTGACCGACGAGAATCAATGACCTTCCTTTGAGGTTTGAGCTATTATCCCAAATTCCACTCTGCGAAACCGCCTTACCGCTTGATCACAATACAGCCGATGTTACTCCTGTCACAGTGTATGTTGTGTGCCAAACGGATCTAATTTTCTCTAATTTGTCAAGGACACGTCAGTTATGAGAAACCTCATTTCAACCTAAATTCATTTGGTATTATTGGACAAATCAATAAAAAAATTACAAAACAAGAAAAAACTATTTCAATTCCAGAGAAAAAGCACCTGTAAGTCAGCAGGTTGTTTTTAAAGGCGATTGCAAATAATTCTCTCTGACGTTGAGTTCAACTCAATTTTGCGCGAGAGCAATAATGAGCAGCATTATTTCCTGAATAAAGAAATGGAGAAATAAAGAAAGAAGCTCATCTGAGATTGACGTTGAGGTAATAAGAGAAAAGTTTAAAGACGTTTACTAAAAATAAAACTCGGATCACTCGTAAACAGAACGAAATAAGATTTGAGTTTGAAAAGACATGTTTTTACAAAGGCTATGCAAATTCACCACAACTAGACTTGTTTGTCGCAGAAACAAATTTTAAAAAAATTCCGGCGCGTCAGAAATAAGAAAATAAATTTGAAAGAAACAGGTTGACGAAAAAATAAAGTAGAAAAATTTCTGACGCTTCAGAAGCAGTTTGAAGAACGTAAATTTGAACAAATTTCTGACGCTCAGAAACAAACTGTTTCTGATAAAGAAGATAAATTCGAAACATCGATGTTTCTGATGCGTCAGAAACAAGTTGAAGAAAATACATTTGAAAAATTTCTAACGTGTCAAAAACAAGAAAATAAATTTAAAACGTGAATGTTTCTGGCACCAGAAGCAGTTTGAAGAAAGTGCAGTTTGAAGAAAGTAAATTTGATAATTTTCTGAAGCGTCACAAGCAAGTTGAATGAATTTGAAAATTTCTGACGCTCAGAAACAAACTGTTTCTGATGAAGAAAATCAACTTGGAACATAAATATTTCTGACGCGTCAGAAACAGTTTAAAGAAAATAATTTGAAAAAATATGACGCGTCAGAAACTGTTTGATAATATTCATACCCCTCTTCAGAACTCACGAGTGAGACATTGTGAATATTATTCACCCGTGTAAATTTATGAGTTGCCTTGAAATCAACTTTGTTTTCAAAATGTGTCAGAGTTCCCCTTTCACATCTACTTAACTTTTGTAGAAAGGTTAAAATGTATAATTTTCTGGATGTATTCTTGACTCTGGTGCAGCAGGGAACTGTTGAACTGAGCTGACTGTACAACGAAACCGAGATAGGCAAATTAAAATGGGCTGAAAAAGTCGTTCGAATGGATTCAGATAATCGAAGCATTTGAAACGATCCTTAAATTCTTCGCACGGGTTTCATGTCTTTTTGAACGTGGGAAAAACAGCTACTCTAGACTATTCAAAAAACCTCCAAAGCTTTTTTCAGTACCTGCTTCTACGTTATGCACGGGATCTCATTATGTCTCGTCTGACATGTAATGCGACACTTCGTCTTGTTTGTGCAGATTTCACTTCGTGAGAGCTACTTTCGGTCCGCATGAATTGATTAAAAATTTAAAACATTTGTCTTACAGTACTTCTGTAATTTCAATTCTCCGAAAACTCTTCACTTGCCACGGGCAAGTTAACCACAGAATCCACTAGCCCGATCGCAAAATCTACTAGCCCCGGGCTATCGGACACGACTTTCTTTGCAAGCTGCATTTGCTAGATATTGACACCCGACTTTGAAAGGGTATCCATTTGAATTAGAAGCAAACTAATGAAAGCCATCAAATTTTTATCCCTTTAATAATATAAATATCTCCCCTGTCAGTTGCTAAGAAATACTCTGGCGGCAAATTTTTTTTGGCGGCAAATTGGAGAATGAAGCGCTTTCACTGGCAGCTTTTTGCGTTGTCGACGTTGTCATTTAGTGTGTCCATTGAGAACTTTGGTTTCAAGGTTTCAACGCCGTTTTTTCCGTTTTTTTTTTTTCTTTTTTTGTTATAAAATGTATTTCTAAATTCTAAAATGTCTAAAATGCATGTTAACCATTCATATTTTGCGGTGACCCGGTGAAAATTCTGCAGTGTGGCAGCACTAAGAGCAAAACAGCTCTTTTTTTCTGCTAGCGAAAAAATTTTTCCGGGCTGGTAAAAATGACTTTCGGGCTAGTAGATGTTAAATACAGCTTGCTCTACGGTAAAACTGACTTTCTTTGCACCCTGAAATGGGAAACAAGATATATTTAGAATGAAAACCACTTTTATTTCAACCTCTTGAACCTCTTGGAGAAAGCAGTCCCTCACATTTTACAATCTTCAGCAAAAGAACTGAAAGTACAAAATACAGAGTTATTTAAGTCAAATATTTTAAGGAAAAATTCTTTCGTTCAAAGAATATCTTGGATTAACCTGCTACCATACAACTTGGCAAACTATGGCGCCGACAATCAACAACTGAAATGCTCGAGCGAAAGGAAAATTTCAAGCGTTCCGGTATATAAACAAGATCTACAAAAACCCGGTAAGTGCTTTACGGTTATTCAAAACATATTATAACCTAGCTAGTAAATTTGTCGAATCAAATTCAATTGCGTAAGCGTGCTTCATATTCTATATTGTGCACACTCATGACGTCAGCAAACAAATCCCTCGAGAAAAAAATTTTTCCATCGGGTTGAAAATGTTATGAAATAATTGGTTCATAAGTCAGCTGTGCGTTCATCGAGATATGAAACACTTGGGAAGTTTGCCTGGAGCAACTCTTACGCATCTTTCGTGCTCTCGAAACTTCCCGCGTACCTCATATCTCGATGAACGCACGCTGACGTATGAACCAATTGTTAAATGATTAAGACTACATTTTTTCTCAGTAAAGACCAAAGAAAAATAGCTCAAGAAAGCTCAAAAGTCACCATTTTAACTGGTTTTCCGGAATAGATGCTTTACTTTTTTCGGCATTGATACATGTTTGGTTTTCCTTCGCGATGCTTCTTTGGTTTTCCTCGATTAAAATTGTCGTTTGGCTTTCTTCCCTCTTCACTGACTTTTTGATTTTTTCTTCAATGCGTATTCTCGTACTGAGTGTGGGGGGTTTCCTCAAATTTTCTAAAAATTTAAATTTTAATTAAAAATTTGGCACACATTCATTTTCAGCATATTTGCATATTTTTGTAAAATACATTTTATATTCCTTATCCATTGTAGCAATGTTTATGTGCCTGAGTGGATTTAGACTCTAAAGTGAACTTTCCTGGTGAACGTTTCATTGCGAAAATGACCCGGTCCAGCTGATGGAGATACCGCAATGCTGAATCTTCCAAAGGGAATTACACGGAAATTAAGTATCTGGAATAGAGTGCGCTTAAATTCTGGGATCCTGAACGGAAAAATCATCACGTTCACAAATGAATTGCTAAACTGTAAAAATTTGATAATAAATACAGTCAATTCAATAAGGTGAAAATTTTGTGCGACTTTCAATGCAAACAAAATATTTAGAATTTGAAAAGGAAGCCAGGTAAAAAGCGATGTTCCTGTTATGAGAACTAGTGTCTTCGCCAATTTCACTTCTCTTTTGATGTGATTCTGGTCGCGAAATGGCGTTTTCTGCTTCTTCCAAATAACAAAGTTTGCTAAACATATAGTTATTAGAGGGATTCCAGAAATTAAAACAAGACAATAGAAGAAATGCTCCCTCCCTATCATATTAAGTGTCCGTAACACCATTAAAGTAGTAAATATTGCCGCTATGATCCACGGTATGCTAATAGCGCAGACGTAAACACGATAGTTCACAGTTCTGTGACGAAGAGGCCAACCGACGGCGTACATTCTTTCCAAGGAAATGACCGCAAGAGTGTAGATGGACGTTGTGCCTGTGAAAACGTCAGCACCGATGGAAATAACGAACCATGTATATCCCTGTGATACAACTGCTTTTATATAAAAAGGGACAGCAAAAATCCCCACCAGCAAATCAGCAACTGCCAAGCTTATGAGAAGTGAGTAAGAGCGTTTTTGGCGTCTCTGTTTGAAGAATATCCAGATGGTGAGAATATTTCCTAAAATGATCAAAGTCACCAATACACCAAAACATATATCCCAGAAGATGTTCCATGAGTTAAAATCCATTTTACTGGGCACTGTTTTTCTTTTGACCAGCCACGAAAACAAACCTTTGCCAGTAAATCTGAACGGTAGAAAATTTTTGGGAGCAAAAATACCTTAGTAAACGAGCATTTAGTATTTTTTTAAACTATATTCTTTTGTGTAATTTAGAAACAAGTTAGAAATACTTTTTACATCGTTAAACAAATAAATCAAACAGAGGAACGCGGTTGGCGCCGAAAACTGACCCCATTTGCACGGGCCTTAGTTTTGGCCTCTGTGTTGTTCCAAATAGCAATATGTATGTTCATATTTTTTTGAAACACGAAAAGGATGATGTTGAAGCTGTCAACTTCAAGGCTTCTCTCGAAGTGGATCTCATTAACGTCTAGTTCCTTTAAGCATCACGCAAGTTTTATTATACAAATACACCAGCTTGCTTTTCTAGAACATACACTTTCTGTAGCAAGAAAGTACTTTGAATTTTGATGACTCATTCTTCATCTGCTTACCTTTTGTAGAATGGTTAAAATGTAAAATCTTCTGGATGTATTCTTGACTTTGGTGCAGCAGGGAACTGTTGAACTGAGCTGACTGTAAAACAAAACTGAGAAAAGCAAATTGTCAATTAAGAAAAATTGATGTTCGCTTTGAGAAAATTCAAGGAGGACGTCAATAAGATTGATTGCTATGCTTACAGATGTGAGCAAGCTGTCACTTCTCTACAATAGCACGCTCAAATATTGATTAAATGCAGTGGTCATTACAACATCATGCTGAATACAGGCTCTTTTAACTTGTTCAGCAATGAGCTAAAGCTTGGTGTAGCTGTTTTTCTGTCGGCTTATATGGTTTTTGGGCGGGTAGTTCAATTAATTGTCTGAGGCTTTTCAACAGCGGCCTCAGAAAGAAAAAACTTTCGGAATTTAACAATGGACGAAAATTAGCGAACTGATGCTAATATCCAGCATAATGAAGAGACATTTTGCCAGTGACTAATTTGAATGGTGCCATCTTTGCTTCATTTCTAGAAATAAAGTCAAAGAATTTGCCTGAAAGAATGAGATAGTCGTTCAAATAAAACGGGCTGAAAGAGTCGTTTGAATGGATCGAAATTTTTTAAAATTTTCTTTTCTCCCAAGTACGCAGAATTCTTAATTCGTACAAACAGATAATCGAAGCGTTCGAAACGATCCTTAAAATTCTTCGTAAGGGTTTCGTTTCTTTTTGAACGTGGAAAAAATAGCTACTCTAGACAATTTACAAGCCTTTTCAGACCAAAATTTGACGGGACAAAATCGGAAGAAAAAGATCTAGAACAACATTTAACTATTCCAGTCTTCTGGCAAGGCTTTTTATCGCTAGAAAAGGGCATATCTGGAGCGGAAAAAAAAAATCCATAATTGAAGTGAGCTCATTTACTTTAATTTTAAACAGTATGCTCGAAGGCTGACAGCTGGTCAGGTACAAAAATAGTCCTACCTTCTCGTTGAAGTCTGGGAGCATAAGTCAAGAATCAGTGAAAAACTTTGCGAAAAACTAAAACCACGTATCTAGTTAAATTTAATCTATAGCCGCTACAGTATGAACTGTAAGCACAAAATCCAACCTGGTAACGAGGCTGCGCCTTAAAATGACGTAGCTATCAAACGTCTGTCGGGATTAGTCCTGGCTGGCCACATCCCAATTTCCCCACGCAGAATTTCAAGGGATAACAAGAAACAGCCGTTCACACAATCTTTAAAAGGAAACAAAAATAGAGAAAAGGAAATCTCGAGACTTTTCAAACATGTAGTTTATTCAAGTACGGGCAACGCTGTTGATTTACCATTCTGTTTTGAGCTCACCGAAAAAGGTTATACGCTTTTAAAACACCGTTAATTATTGGCTTGTGTGGTTCTTTGCAACTCGTTTGAGACCGCTTGGTTCCTAAAAGAGCGTCAACCGTGATTGCTAATCGACACACCAACACAGCGGCAAAATGGGTTCACGTGCTCGGTGGATAAGGCGCATTCGTTCCATTTCGTTGCTAGTGATCATTACATCGTTGCACATGCGCAAACGTTTGACCGCTGTGTCCTCGCTGTCGCCACTGTGTCGAAAACGCCAGCAAACTGTTCATAGGCTTTGGGGTTGGTTGCTCAGTGCGACCGAAGCCAAACAATATGGTGGCTACGATACGTAAATAATAGTTCGCGCGAATCATCGGTGGTTAGTGTTGTCAATGATAAATAATAACCCTATTTTTTATTGATCGATGGGAAGTGGAGCCTTTACAACAAAAGGAATACTTTTTCATACTATGAAAAGTATGATTTGACCAAAACTGCTTTACCAGGTCGTTTAAGTTAGGATCGTAACCACACTGCACATGTTTTCCTGTGCTCTGGTGAGTGCGGTTTTCATACCTAATTGTGGGTTTATTTACTGATCATCCGCTTCTTATCGACATTTCTCATGCTCCTGTAGTGATTTTAGTTAGTGACCTTCCTCCTCTGAGTGCTCCGCTCCTAATGTGTGGTATTGCAAAAAAGGCACTCCATCTCTTTCTCAATTTACAGGGCTTCTTCTTTTACCCTATTTCATCTTCCTTGTCTCGATTGCTATTTTCATGCAAACCACAAAAGGAAAGAATGAATAAGAAAGATTACAATAAGAAGAATGTATCCAGGAACATGGAACTACTTTTTCAGACTAAATCTAAATTTTATGATTACTTGTTATCCTTGGTAATTATCCCTCAGATGTCCAGACAATTCCAACTCCTAAAGATGAAAACTGATTTACTCTATTTTCTATTTTTTTTTTCATGTAGCCACATTTATGGATATTGTTGACGCCTCGCCGCAGTCTACCATCAGATCGTGGACGTGTAGTGATGTGAAAACCTTGCCCAAGAATGAAAGCTCGACTTCTCTGTGCTGGAGATGTATCTTTAAATCCCGGACCATCTGGCTTAAAGTTTAAAGTTTTGTCAATGGAACGTCCAAAGATTAACTGACTCAAAGCCTGAGGAATTGAAACTCTTTGTCACTAATTTACATTCTGATGTGGAAGCCTTGATAATTACTGAAACATTTTGTCAACCTTAAATACCAGACTCGTATTATCCTATTCCTGGCTTTAATTTAGACCGCAAGGACAGAGTTGGAAAGAGCAGAGGCGGCATTATGGCATGGATCAGGAACTCTTTACAACAAAAAACGACGAATGGACTCGGAAAACAAAAAAGGAGGCTTTATGGCTTGAGGTTTTTCCTTATAAATCAAAGCGCTCTCTCCTAACTGCTGGTGTCTATCGCCCTCCGTCTAACAACACGGAGCAAGGCAAAATGCTGGGAAGTAATATTGAAAATGCCTATTTACTCATCAAGGAGATGATCTTACTGGGAGATTATAATGTGAATTTTTTATCTTCCACTGGTTTTAAAAAACACCACCTTGTGAAAATTTTACACAACTTCAATCTGACCCAGGTTATAAACAGCATCACAAGGCCACTGTCAAAGACTTGCCTGGACCATGCTTGTCATCCTGGGAACACCTAAACAATATTAGCGTAATCCCTTTTGGGATGTCCGATCACCTTCCTATTGTTGCCACGAGGAAATACAGTCGCACAAGATCTAAAATAACAGGTTCAATACCATAAGCTACACGGACATCAAAAACCAAGACAAAGACGCGTTTGTCGAGTCCTTGAAAACGGCACCTTGGGATTGCACTTTTCTGTTAACGACAAAAACGAGTAAAACGCAGAAATCAACCAAGTGGTTCAATGTCAATATTTTGAAGGAAATAAGAACAAGAGATAATTCACTAAAGAAAGAAAAAAAAAAAAAAGGAATTTTGAAAGAGACTGGGACATGCTCAAACGAGCAAAAAACAGTGTCTCCAGTTTGATCAGGAGGACAAAGCAAGCTTATTTTAAGAATACATAAGCGAAAACAAAAACAACAGTAGGAAACTATGAAATCTCATAAAGAGTTTGTCACGTGACGATGATGAATCTCGATCTAGTATTGAAAAGTTGATTGATAGCGGCTATGTCATTACAGACAAAACCAGTATGGCTAAACTGTTATATACCTTCTTTATTGATTATTCAAAGAATTTGATTTCTATCCAAAGCACATTTGTGGCTCAGCGCCCAAATGCCATGAATCAAGTTGAACATGCATTTGCGATCCCGAGCACAACTATGAAACGAGTCTCTGAACTGCTTTTGTCCATTCCAAGTCACAAAGCAACGGGTGATGATGGCATCAGCGCCAAGATTTAAAAAGATTGCTGCTCCTGCCGTACAACCATCTATGACTAGACTTTTAGACTTTTAAATCTATGTATATCAAATAAGGTCTTTCCATCTGCCTGGAAAGTAGCTAAAGTAACACCTGTGTTTAAAGGAAATGGAAGCAGATCAGACCGTAACAACTACAGGCAAATCTCAGTCCTGCCAGTCCTGTCTAGGCTACTTGAAAGACACATTTGCGACCATCTGTGTGACTTCTTGACATCAAACGGGATATTTTACAAACTCCAATCTGGGTTAAGAAAGTCGTTCTCCACTGAGACAGCTTTCATACGACTTATTGACGAGCTTTTACACAATCTGGACATGGACAATGTAACTGGCCTGGTGATGATTGAATACAAAAAAGCTTTCGATTTTATCTATCATGCGCTTCTTTTACAGAAGCTCCGGGCTACTGGCATCGATAATGATTATTTCATTTGTTTCACTCTTTGAAAGTTATCTTAGTGATCGTACGCAATATGTAAACATCGATGGGTGTCATTCAACTCTCAGAGATGCAAACCTTAGAGTGGCTCAAGGGAGTATACTAGGACCAGTTTTGTTTCTTATATTGGTAAACGATCTACAAAAGATACTGGAACACTCAGCAGCAGACATATAGGCGGATGATACTACTATCAGTGTTACTGTTGATTATAGATCAGCACCCGGAGCCTTAAATCCAGTTCTTCAAGCTGATGTTGGTAAAGTTGCACAATGGACCGCAGACAATAAAATGGTACTGAACAGGTCCAAAGCTGAAACTATGTTAGTAGCTGGCAAATGTCTACATAAGAAGATGAACAGCACCTCACTCACGGTCAATGTCAATTCAGTCGAACTCGAACAAGTCCAGTCTCATATACTGTTAGGTGTAATTATTGACACTTAATGCTTAATTTTAATAAGCATATTGATAATCTATGCAAGAAGCTAACACAGCGTATTGCTGTTTTTAAAAAAAATCAGGCGTCATTTACCTTTAGATCAACGAATTCTTTATTACAATGCCATGATAAAACAAACTATATTATATGGCTCTAGTGTGTGGGTTTCTACACCTGTTGATAATCTTCAGGCTACAGAGGCGTACCGCACGCGTTATTCTCCATGCTGATTCTAGAGCAAATAGTGTAGATCTGTTTAGAGAACTTAATTGACTAACTTTTTTTCATGAAACTAAGATTAATCAGCGCGTTAGTTTATAAACGTTTGTCCAGATTATATGTTAGAGTTACTCAAACGAAACATCGACATAGGTTCTACTGAAAGACAGAGTAGATATGGGTCTTTGAATCTAATTTGTCCAAAGTATAAAGGGAGTCAGAAGGTGTAAGACTTTTCAAGTATCAGCCATTAGGTTTTGAAATTCACTTCCCAAAGAAATTAAGAGTAGATCTAGTTTAGAAATTTATAGAAGTCTTTATATAAGTATTTTTTGGAGTTCTACAAAGATGTTCCTCACTGTACTATAGCTTAGGCTATTCTATTTTATTCTCATATATTTTATTTTAATTCTTAGATAATTCATATTTTAATTGTTTAATCATCTCGTTTTAATTACTTCATTATTTATATTTGTATTTATTTCTAATTTGTTTTTGAGGGCCACGAGTTTATCAGTATTTTATACCGTCATGTGCCACCCTCGACAAATAAAGTTGAATATTATTATTATTTTTATTATTATTATTATTATTATTATTATTATTATCAGCACGTACGTCAAGCATGCGCATTGCTGGACGCACGTTTTTACGCCCGTGACAACATAAAAGGAACATTTTGAATTCATGATCAATTCTTTTCCATCACTTCTGTTCAATAGCAATGTAGTGTTTTTACCGATGTGGTAATGAGAGTTTTGTTTTTCTACTCTCGTCGCCTGGTAAACAATAAGTAGAAAAGCATAAATATGTTCCTTTGAAACTGTCATGTAACACACACCGGCAGTAACAGAGCAAAAGACTGAATGACTGAAAATTATATGGACCGCAAGGGCTAGAGGTTTCTATGCTCTTCGTAAATGATACCAGTTAAAAAAATTCCAACAGATTCCACTCTTCATAAATATATATCTTCACATATATTTTATATTCTACATGTCTATGTTCCTGAACGGATTAAGACTCTAAAGCGAACTTTCCTGGTGAAAGTTGGATGGTGAAAATGTCGAATTTGTAAACGTTATCAAGGACACAACTGAACTGGGCTCGGCTGATGGAGATAACTTAGTGCTGGATCTTCTAAAGGGAATTACACAAAAATTAAGTATCTGGAATAAAGTGCGCCTAAATTCTGGGATTCTTAACGGATAAATTATCACGTTCATAAATGAATTACTAAACTGTAAAGTTTTGATAACAAAAAATGCGAATTCAATACGGTGAACATTTTCCATGACTTTCAATTGCAACAAAATATTTGTAATTTGAAAAGGAAGCCAGGTAAAAAGTGATGTTCCAGTTATGAGAGCTAGTGTCTTCGCCAATTTCACTTCTCTTTTGATATGATTCTGGTTGCGAAATGGCGATTTCTGTTTCTTCCAAACAACAAAGTTTGCTACACATAAAGTTATTAGAGGGATTCCAGGAATTAAAACAAGACAATAAAAGAAATGCTCCCTCCCTATCATATTAAGTATCCGTAACACCACTAAAGTAGTAAATATTGCCGCTATGATCCACGGTATGCTAATAGCGCAGACGTAAACACGATAGTTCACAGTTCTGTGACGAAGAGGCCAACCGACGGCGCACATTCTTTCCAAGGAAATGACAGCAAGAGTGTAGATGGACGCTATCCCAGTGAAAACGTCAGCAACCATGGAGATAAGGAACCATGCATATCCCTGTGATACAACTGCTTTTATATAAAAAGGGACAGCAAAAATCCCAACCAACAAGTCGGCAACAGCCAAGCTTATTAGAAGAGAATAAGAGCGTTTTTGGCGTCTCTGTTTGAAGAATATCCAGATAGTGAGAATATTTCCTGCAATGATCAAAGTCACCAATACACCAAAACATATATCCCAGAATATGTTCCATGCGTTAAAATCCATTTTGCTGGGCGCTGTTTTTCTTTTGACCTGCCATGGAAACAAACCTTTGCCATTAAATCTGAACAATACAAAATTTTTGGGAGCAAAAATACTTTAGCAAATGAGCATTTAGTATTTTTTAAACGATACTCTTTTGTGCCATTTAGAATCAAGTTAGTAATACTTTTTACATCGTCAAACAAAGAAATCAGACAGTCCTAAAACAAGAAACAGAAAGTGTACGGATCAGACTGCTGTAACATGTCTCTTAGCTATGACGAAGGGCTAACGTGAGAAAAGTCATCTTTAGAAACTTTTTACGGTGGCCAATTTATATTATCAATATAATTCAGCGGTTTATTACAAATTATTTTACTGGACATGATAATGTTTACAGCTCAGCAAATCGAATCTTGGCGGAGGTTCGACATAAAAAAAAAACAAAACAAAAAAAAAATGGGAAGCCCTCTTTATTTCTATTTATACGAGTCATCGGTCAGAGCTAATTTGTCTCACAAAAGTTATACAAAGACACAAACCGATAAGTCACTTTGTTCAACACGACTTTGTAGGCTCTTAACTAAGTTAAGAGCCACACAATTTCGGTTTTTGATAAAACTTAAAACACAATCTTGATATAATTTAAAACACAATCTTTTCATTTTTAAATTGTAATTTGTTTCAACATGACAGCGGAAGTTTCTAATAATTCTCCATTGGGCTTTTTCTCCGGAAAGTGGAGCGCCGTTGGCGCCAAAACTTACATCATTTGCACGTGTAATCTTTTCATTTTTAAATTGTAATTTGTTTCAACATGACAGCGGTAGTTTCTTATAATTTTCCATTGGGGTTTTTCTCCGGAAAGTGGAGCGCGGTCGGCGCCAAAACTGACTTCATTTGCACGGGCCTTAGTTTTGGCCGCTGTGTTGTTCCAAAGACCAATAGATATTTTTACACTTTTGCTCTATGAAACATGAAAAGGAGTAAGTTGAAGCTGTTAACTTCAAGGCTTCCCTTGAGGTGGATCTCATTAATGTCTAGCTCCTTTAAGCATCACGCAAGTTTTATCATACAAATACACCAGCTTACTTTTCTAGAACAAACACATTCTGTAGCAAGAAAGTAATTTGAATTTGATTACTCATTATCCATTTGCTTACCTTTGGTAGAATGGGTAAAATATAAAACGTCCTGGTTGTATTCTTGACTTTGGTGCATCAAGGAACTGTTGAACTGGGCTGAATGCAAAACGAAACTGAGAAAAGCAAATGATCACGATAATGTTCGCTTTAGAAAAATTAAAAGGGGACGTCAATAAGGTTGATTGCTATGCTTACAGATGTGAGCAAGCTGTCACTTCTTAACGATAGTGTGCTCAAATATTGACTAAATGCAGTGGCTATTAAAACGTTATGTTAAATATAGGCTCTTTTAATTTGTCCAGGAATGGTGTAGCTGTTTTCTGTTGGCTTATATGGTTTTTGGGTGGGTAGTTCAATCAATTGTCTGAAGCTTATCAACAGCGACCTCAGAAAAAATTTAACAATGGAAGAAAATTAAGAAATTGATGCTAATATCCAGCATTTTGAAGAGACATTTTCCTAGTGACTAATTTGAATGGTGCCACCTTTGCTTCATTTCTAGAAATAAAGTCAAAGAATTTGCCTGAAAGAATGATCTAGTCGTTCAAATAAGACGAGCTGAAAGAGTCGTTTGAATGGATCGAAATTTTTTAAAATTTTCTTTTCTCCCAAGTAGGCAGAATTCTTAACTCGTACAAACAGATAATCGAAGCGTTCGAAACGATCCTTAAAATTCTTCGTACGGGTTTCATTTCTTTTCGAACGTGAGAAAAACAGCTACTCTAGACAATTCACAAACATTGTCAGACCAAAATTTGACGAGACAAAACCGGAAGAAAAAGATCAAGGAAAACACTTTACTGTTCCAGTCTTCTTGCAGGGCTTTTTTTGTCGCTAGAATAGGGCACATCTGGAGCGGAGGTGGAAAAAAATCCATAATTGATGCGAGCTTATTTATATTTTGGCGGTATGCTCGAAGATTGACAGCTCTTTTTACTTTCTGCGAAAGCTGGTCGGATACAAAAATAGTCCCACCTTCTCGATGTAGTAAATAAATTTTTGCCAAATTTATTTTGTTTTTGCAAAAAAGGGGGGGGGGCCTCCCGTCCCTCCTTCTGCGCGGTCCCTGAGTCTGGGAGCATATGTCAAGAATCAGTGAAAAATTCTGCGAAAAACTAACACCACGTATCTAGTTATGTTGAGAAGACTCTGTAGCTTGAATCTATAGCCACTACGGTACAAACAGTAGGCATAAAATACGACATGGTAACATGGTAAAAAAGCTGGACCTGTAAATAACACAGCGGCTAAACGTCAGTCGTGCGTGAGGGGATCAATTCTGGCTGGCCGCACCCCAATTTCTCCGCGAAAAATTTCAATGGAATACATAAAAGCAACTACTGTCTCGCAAAAAAAGCGAAAACAGTTGAAACTTTCAGGGAATCTCTAAAAGAAAACAAAAAAAACTCGAGACTTTTCGAACATGAATGTTATTCAAGTACGCGCAACCCTGTTGATTTACCATTCTGTTTTGAGCTCACCGGAAAAGGTTATACGCTTTTAAAACACCATGAATTATTGGCTTGCGTGGTTGATTGTAACTCGTTTGAGACCGCTTGCTTCCTAAAATCGACACACCGACACAGCGGCAAAATGGATGCACTTGCTCGGTGCATAAGGCGCGTTCCTTCCATTTCGTTGCTAATGATCATTACGACGTTGCACATGCGCAGACGTCTGACGCTGTGTCTACGCTGTCGCCGCTGTGTCGAAACGCCAGCAAACATATTGCAAACATATTGAAAACATATGCCACTCTGAAGAGCGTCACAATAAACTTTCTCAAGATGAAAAATCCTCCGACGGAAATGTGAAAGATGAATCTAACACGAACACCATAGAAGGAAAACCTGTAACTGATCGTTTTCCTGCAGACAATGAAAAAATTGCCAAAGATGTTGGTGACAAAAAGGTACTTACATCTCTGCTCTGTGA